CTCCCGCGTCGCCGTCGACACCGCCTTCCTTCCGCTTTGACGGTCACCAAGAGCAGTTGCAGCCTGCAGGCGGACACCTACCAGCACAATTTCCGCGGCCACGACCAAAGCTACGGCCAAAATCGACCAAGAAACCGGTGTTCTCTCCAGCACCACCGCCCGACACCACAACATCGCCGCCGCTTGGTCATCAGATTTTCGCCGCTTGGCGTCAAAGCGCCGCCGACCGACTATCAAAGCTCCGTCGCCTGGCCATCAAAGCTCCGCCGCCCGTCCATCAAAGCACCGGCACGTCAAGCGTCGTCGGTCACACATCGTCGACAACATCAGCCACCCATCGTCATCTACCAGCCGGCCGCCCATCAACTACCCCGCCACCACCGTCGGAGCTTGTCGTCGCCATCCGATCCATCCCGCATTTCGGAGAAACGCCACTTCTTCGGGACCGCAAAGTCACTCTCCCGAACGCCGTCTGACAAGCGACCTTCACGGCGAGGGCCTCCATGTCGGCGGGAGAGTCCGGCGGAGAGAAGAGACGGCGGCGGCGGCGGCGGGATGTGCAGGGGTACAGTTTTCAGATTTGGATTTTTTAGTTCGTTTCTCATATTTGGGTCCTGTTGCTGTACATTAAATTCAAACTATATTTTGATTTGGGGTTCTATTGGTGGAAATTAGACAATTAGGGAGGATCTATTTGCAATTTTTTAAACTTGATATGTCGATGCTCTTAATTGGCTACAGGGCAATTCATTTTTTATATTATAAATAAAAATAAATAATAAATGTCAAACGCGCACAAAATGCACAATGTCCGTCTGTTGACCCCTACGATAAATATGTCAAAACCAAAATAATCGAGTTGAAACGTGAGAAAAAACGACCGATTTGTTTGTTTATTTGTTTTTTTTTTTTTGTCGTTTCATGATTCACTATGGTGCACTCTGTTAGTCAGTAATGTGTAATTTGTCTAATACAATTGTGCGATTATAGCACATTTATTAAATCATGCATTTTTTTAATAATTTGACTCTAATCATACTAAAACCAAATCTAGAATAATCGATTTATTTGTGCACTTAAATGAGTTAACTTAAATAATTGTAGTTTATTATTTATATTATAAATATATATTATTTTTTTAATATATTACTAAATATTTTATATTATACTTAGATGAAAATAAATATTATATATATAATTATATAATTTTTTTCAGTTCGGTTATTTAAGTTATTTTGTAAAATAAAGACATCGAACCAAACCGAGATTTTAAAATTTAAAACAGATAATCAAACATCAAAATAAAAAAAACAATCGAAATGAAAGTTTTATAACAGTCTATTGGTCGCTATTTAATGTGAAAAATATATTTGATATGCTAATAATTTTATTTATTATTTTTTATTATTTTGTGGTTGAAAAAATTTGTGTTCGGTCGGTTTCGATCTATTTTGTACAGTTTGATTGTCGTGATAATGTGCAACGTGTTGTTCTGTATAGTGCAACGTGTTGTTTTATAAAGTGCAAAATATTGATGTATAAAGTGAACTACATGATAATGTGCAATGTGTCGTTATGTAAAGTGCAACGAGCTGTTCTGTAACGTTCAACGTGTTGTTTTATAAAGTGCAAAGTGTTGATGTATAAAGTGAACTACTGTAATTTTCGTACGTTAGCAAACATATGTTTTTGTGTGGATAACTGATGTGATTGGTGTTAAAGCAACGCACATTTGTTTTTTAGATTTATTTTGTGTGGTAATTTGGTAGTAGCTATGTTGATGTTAACTGTAGAGTGTGGTGATAAAGTGCAAAATATTGTTAAATAAAGTGCAATTTGTTGTTTTATATAGTGCAGTGTTTCGATATACAAAGTGCACTACTTTATATGATCACATAAAATTTTTATTTATTTTTTTTAGAAACTATATTTAGTAGATATAATTATACATCAAATTAACCTAACTAAATGAAATAATATTATTTTATTATTATCGTGCAATATATTGACTGGGGTATTTTTTTTATGTGTATTTCACTTTTATAAACTTTAATAATGTATTAATGTGTATGTCCATTAGTGTCAATTGCATTTATCTAATAAATTATATAATAAGAAAAAAATTATTTATAATTTTTATTTAATATTTTATATTATTGTAATCTTAAATTATGATTTATAATTTTTGTTAGTTAGTAGTTGATATTACAGCGAATGTGTTTACAGCTAGAGTTGCATTCTTTTTCTCTTCTTTTAGTATCCTAACCATCTCTCTCCTTTTTAGAATAATATTTTTAAAAATATTATTTTTTATCTTTTGATAAATTACATATTTAGCCCATGGACTAAATTGAAATATAAGCAAAATGTCTAAAAAATACAGTCAGGCCCTTAAGACTAATCTAATTTTCAAATTCATGCCCTTAACATATGAGCCAGCGTCTCCCCCGTGTACCTGCCGTGCGGACCACACCTTCGCGACCGGAGCTCTGCAACGACGTCGGAGTTTTCCCTGCCGGTCATCAGGTGCAAGGACGTGCGGCCGCAAGCGTCATGCTCGCCGGCGAGTTCGGGCCTCCGGGCGATTAGCGTCGTGGCCTGCCAGTCGACTTGGAGGTGCCGCCTTTCGCGTCTATGTGATGAAAACCGGCGTTGCAGCGTCAGGAACAATGGATGGTGGACGGTGGCGGACATCCATGGCGGTGGTCGGGCTTTTCAGCCGGTTAAACATGGTGTGTGTGTGTGTGTATACGAATAGTGCCAGTGCGAAGTGTGTGTGTGTGTGAGAGAGAGAGAGTAATGTGTGTATGGCCGGCGACCGGAGGTTCGCCGGCGGTAGTCGTGGCCGGCAGTTTGTGATTTTGTGTGTGTGTGTGTGTGTGTGTGTGTGTGCTGTGGGTGCGTGTGTAGGGGTAACGTGAGTGGGGTAGGGTAGGCTGGTAGTTGGCTGGTAGATAGTGGTTGGGGACAGATTTATTATGTTGAGTGGAGCCCACATGTTTGAGTGTATTGTGGTAAATTACTATAATACCTAAATGAAGATATATTTTTAGTTTTTTTATAAGCTGTTGGATCATGCGATCCAATGGCTATAGTTTATTCTCATTTCTTTCATTGAGAACCATTCTCATGTGAACCCAACCCTATACAGTCACGTAGTTGCGGTTTTCTTGTTTTTGTTGATAGATCTGTTTCGATAAATTTATACATGTGATTGAGTGGTGGATTATGTGGTTTAGAGACTCCGAGCGGGGCGTAATCTTCTTCTGATATTAACTTGGATGCAACGATTACAGGTCATTTTTTAAGGTCATTTTTTATGTATATGACTGATGTAACACTCAAGTGTGTTGAGCTGGATGAAATTAAACTAATTCAGATTTGAAAACTGCCAGATTATGAATTTCTCATGCACACTAGCAAATACAAAATTACACAACGCACACACATTGAAGGACCAAAAACTATCCGACGAATAGCATACAGAAACGAGATCCTCTACAAGGTCGCCCATCATGTTTTCTTCATCATTTTCCCGTTCCGCCCCCATGGTTCCATATCTATTTTATTTACTCAACCACCATCCTTTACCGTATAAGCATTCTCTCTGCCCGAAAAAAAAATAATAATAATGATAATAAAAAAAAAAAATGAGACGACTATGCATCTTGCTCCGTGAATACTTCCTTGAGAGCTTGGGGCATGCTCAAAACAATGTCTGCAAAAGCTGAACAGAAAAGAAATAGCAATGTAAGTACTTGTACAACCAGCGGATTGGTCTTAACTACATAAATACCCAGATGAGTTTCAAATTACAAACACCCCCTCAAAGACCGTGCTATTTTCCAACTCTGCAAATCTGACGGGGTGTATTTGTTTAAGCAAACATAAACTCAAGATGCTTTGGTAATTTCAAGCATAACTCCGGTTTGCGTTGACTATCCTTTGTGTGTATTCAGAAGTGCACCACAAAATAAGGCGAGGTTTTATAGTGCACGAGGTGTTTGTGGCATAAAATAATAGGAAAAAAAAAGTAGTTGATGATCAATAGATAACCTTCAGGCAGATCCATCGACCGCAATGCATGCTCAGCATTTGTCAAACGAGCTGGAATTAAATGATCTCCAGAAATGTCCTTCCTGTTGACGGGTGCTAGACCAGCCCGGAGTCTCTTGGGTTGATGCGTGGGCCATGCGAGGACACTGACCCCAGATGGAAGTGTAAAGATGAGACTGTCGTATCTACGACTCATTGTTATTTTGCTGTTGCAAACAAACAAAACAAGTTCACCTCAATAAACCAGAAAGACACTGTATAGGAAATAACAAGAAGAAGAAGAACAATTGAAGTCCAGTTAATTGCTGCAAAAATCTGGTGTTGCAGACTCATTAATAACAACAGCATTAATTTAAACTCAAATTTCCAATTTAAAGATGTAATAAGAATTCCATCACAAGAACATAAATGATTTAGTACAAATAACACTTGGAAAGGCTAAATGGCCAAGTAGTTTCTAACGAAAAATAATAGACGATGAAGCAAGCCATCACGTACCAATCAAATTCTGGAAGCACAAATTCAACCATATGATATGGAATACTACAATAAAGTTCTCCAATTTGATTCCCATACAACTCCTTTATAAGGCGAACCTGGAAAGAACAATAAAAGACTGAGCAAGACAATTTTCTGTCACAGATCTTCATGAGGAAAAACTTTAACGGAACGGACGGCTAAGATTCTAGATGAAAAATGCATATTTAGTAGCAAACCATTTAAGGCACTTCACCATGTACAGGCTTCATCTTCCAGTTCAAAATCAATTAACACGAATACTAGTCACATATGACCGCAAAGGGTCTAAGGAGAATGTCTTACAAATATTATTAATGCAAGGTGAATGCCTTACAAATATTATTAAGCCTCCAACAACTCTCCCACGTGATCTATGAACTTCTGTTACCCAAAAAAAAGGGAACAACAACAACAACATAGCCTTTTAGTCCCAAACAAGTTGGGGTAGGCTAGAGATGAAACCCAAGAGAACCAATGGTAAAAGAAACACAAAAAGGGCTCAAAAACAAAAGGAAGAGGTTGGAGCAAAAGAGAAAGGAGCAAAAGTCACGGTTCTGGCACGTGGGAAACAAGAAAAAGAAAATGGGAAAAGGTAAAGAAAAAGAAATAAGAAAGAGACTTTCATATATGAATAGTCGCATTGGAAACAAGATATTATTCAAGCTAACCTCACCATGGCATTAGACGAGAGATAGTCATTTTCCACATCACGTATCGGCAAGAAAAAAGGAAATGTGTGCTCGAGAACTATCATTTTCTCAAGAAACGACTTGCTTTCAACAACACAATGGAATACCTCACAAGGTTCTCCTGGAAATTCAATGCTCTCGGTATTCATATACGGTGGGAACTTGAAAATTTAAACTTCCTATACATTCTTATCATCAAATATTGACTTTTTGGAACTTAGATTATTCATTTCATCAATTTAACATGTTTAATTCTATCTCCATGCAAACAGACACACTACATTGGTATTTGAATCATTGCACCATCATATGATCAGTTTGCTTAATTATTCAAGGACCTTAAACTGTATCCTTAGCTTTGCACTATATGTAGTTCATGAATTCAGAAATTACCTGCATATGATGTCTCATATTGAATGCCAATCCTAGCTCCATCCAAACAACACATCATCTGTTCATTCAACATACAAGTAATAATTTAGAATCCAATTCATTATCTTCAATTGATTATTTATTACTGTCAACATTAAACATCAGTGGTCCTGAGGCAGGTGGATGAATGTGCTATCAGTTGCGATCAATAGTTCATAGACATCCAACGGTTTATTAGATCTTAAACGAACGTTTGATCAATTTATCACATAACAATGCTGTTACTTAAATAAGGTCATTGAACATTATTGGACACTGAAGCACTTGTGTATAAGGCATTTTTCATTTTCAACGACTCTTATCCAAGGGATAAAACTGATACTCACAAGATGAATTAAGCAATCCGTGCTAAAACAGGAGTCAGCCCATATAAATGAATATTGAGTTTCTATCGAAATATTATTCTAGTTCAGAGATACAATGTCAGTCGGTAAAAAGAACTTAAATTAGACCACAACTCTGTTTCTTGTTAAAGCAATGGGAAGAAAAGGAAGAGAACAAGAAAAAACATTATTCTGTCTGAGGTAAACAAATTCAGAATCACTATTGTAACCACAGATTTACCATCTTCATAATTAGTCCATTATAACTAACTTTTCCGTTAAAAAACAAAAAATTAAAACAAAATACCTCCACCACAGGATTAATGGCTGCATTGTTATGGGGCCGACCTAATTATACATGCATACAAACAGGTGTCAACACTAGTATTACATATTCTTCAAGCAAAAGCCAGAGATCCGTTTAGAAAGTATTCAGGTTCAAAAGAACAAATTCACACAACATCATTTGAGAAATAAAGCTAAATAGTCCATCTTACTTTATTTCCAACTCTATAAGTTATCTTTTCAAGAAAAGAAATATCTGGCGATGCAGCAGCATCACCTTGTGATTGTACTGATTTTCTTTCCGCCTCCATGTGGACCTGAGAGTAATGACAATAAATAGATCATCAGAAATATACCAGTAAATATCAATGGTAGAAACAGAACAAAAACACGTTTATAGAGGGAAGGAATCCATAAATTTGCTGTTGAATCATATATAAAGGTAAAAGGGTGGGCCACCTAATGGAAAATGTTATGAATGGTAGCTTAAGACAGTATCACTTAAACTAGGGTGAATAATCACAAAATAAATTACTATGTTTGGTAAAGCTGCATTCAAATCTGCTACATGATAGTTGTCAAAAATACCAAATCATGATGGGAAGACATAAGCTTACATTAGCTCAAGGAGTAACAAAGGTTAACCATAGTTTAAGTAGCATCTAGTATCATTAATAGTTGAAGAGATTAAAGTATTACCAAAAGGTCAACAAGGTATAACAGAATCATACCCGCTCTCTTATTGTAGCTACTAACCCATCATTCCATTGCTCACCATCTAAACCTATCTCTACATCAAAATAGACATTACATCAGAACCAGCAAAAAA